ACTTTTTATTAATTTATTGTAATTAATTATTTGCATGCAATTAAAAACTAATTTTAAACGATGCCAAAGAAGGATAACTTCTCACGCGCCTACATAAGTACACGCACCCATTTTTTTTTTCATACAAAACGCGCGGTGCGGAAACAGTGCGGCGCCGGTACCGCGAACGCGTGGCAACAGGACTGTTGCCGCACCGCGCGTTTTGTATGAAAAAAATAGGATCGTCCGCACTCTGTACGACAAACGCACCGCTTCGGCACCGCAGCAGGCCGTCAAGAAACGCATAAATTGAAAGCTCCCTTCATCATCATCATCATCAGCCTATTAATGTCCCCACTGCTGGGGCACAGGCCTTCCCTATGGATGGAATAGGGAGATTTGGGCACCATGACCCACCACGCGGGCCCAGTGTGGATTGGCGGGTGCTAACGACTGCAGATACAGCCGGGACATACTTCTATCTCGGGATAGAAGATTTTTGGTCACCCATCCAATGACCGACCACTGCGAAAGTTGCTTAAGTTCAGTCGAAAGCGCTAACCACTTGCGCCATCGAGCTCCTCGAAAGCGCCCTTAGGGGAGACCTATGTCCAGCAGTGGACGAACATGGGTTGATGATTGGTGACTTATAAAATATTTATTTATTAATTTATAGAGGTGCAGCCGTACCGTTCGCTGCTGGCGGAGGGCCGGGAGACCTATGTCCAGCAGTGGACGAACATGGGTTGATGATGGTGACTTATAAAATATTTATTTATTAATTTATAGAGGTGCAGCCGTACCGTTCGCTGCTGGCGGAGGGCCGGGAGACCTATGTCCAGCAGTGGACGAACATGGGTTGATGATGATGACTTATAAAATATTTATTTATTAATTTATAGAGGTGCAGCCGTACCGTTCGCTGCTGGCGGAGGGCCGGGAGACCTATGTCCAGCAGTGGACGAACATGGGTTGATGATGGTGACTTATAAAATATTTATTTATTAATTTATAGAGGTGCAGCCGTACCGTTCGCTGCTGGCGGAGGGCCGGTGGTCGGCTCTAGTGGCACAGTTCCGTTGGGAGCACGCCAGGTTGCTGCACCCGGCCCGTCTGCCCGCGTTGCCGGTCGCATTGCAACTGGGACTCGCCGCACTCAACACACCATATCCTTTTCAATACGCCTTTACACAAGACGCGGCACGTAATACCCGCCATATACACTACGAGAAATCGTTACGATCAGACTGTACAGTTCGAACGGTACAGTTTATACGATTTCGTTAAGTATAACTGCTTTCAACTGCAGTTTTATAACATGTATGTTATAAAACTGCACAGTTTCCTATACTTAACGAAATCGTATAAACTGTACCGTTCGGACTGTACAGTCTAATCGTAACGATTTATCGTAGTGTGTATGGCGGGTATAACTCAGTTTTACCAGAAAGCCATGTCTTCATCTTACCCGTCATAATCAGCCTATTAATGTCCCCACTGCTGGGGCACAGGCCTTCCCTATTGAAGGATTAGAGAGATTGGGCTATGACTCACCATGCGGACCCAATGCGGGTTGGTGGGTGCTAACGACTGCAGATGCAGCCGGGAACAACGGCTTCACGTGCCTTCCGAAGCGCGGAGGAGCTCGAGATAGTAAATTTTTGGTCACCCATCCAATGACCGACCACTGCGAAAGTTTAACGACCGCAGCCGAACGCGCTTACCACTGGCGCCATCGAGCTCGTCATCTCGTATTCCCCCAATATACAGGTTTTATTTATTTATTTAATAATGAAGTACACACACAATAAAACAGATAAGAACAGGAAATTGCACAAGGGCACTGCTTATTTCATATTGAAATTTCTTCCAGCAGGCCCGCGAAAGGAAAAAACATTTTAGGATTTTAAAGAAATAACCCCCCAACATGAAAAATATTTATTAAAAATACAATATTTACTACATATTAAGTATTTCTGCAGTAGCATCCATTACTGGATCATCATCTTCGCACGCGTTGTCTTTCTCACTCCTTTCTAAATCGTCTTACATTACTTCGTTATGGTAATGCCATTATCTTACCAAGGTGCAAACAATTAAAAGGACAAATTCACAAATTTCGATTCAGCAGACAAAAGATGATAGATAGTGTCGAATCGATTTGCAGTTTACGCTAACGACCATTATTAACGACTGACTGACTAGCTTGATCTGACAATGACTTGGCTGAACATGCAACTGAGCGAGACGGAATAGACCGAAGAGTACTTTTTGATGTGTAACATCTTTCCTCTCGCTTTCCTGCAATTTGTGGGAGTGATCTCGTGAAATGGGACGCAAGTGTGTAACAGGAAGTCGCGAAAGCGCGCGCTATTTGATTTGATTTTAGAACATAATGTTCAAATGGCTTATTCCTTTTGTAGTAGGTTTTATTTGTTTTTTTACTAATATAAGGTGAGGTTTCAAACGTTACACATCATACGCTACTGTAATGGTAGCCATACACACTACCAGAAATCGTTACGATCAGACTGTACAGTTCGAACGGAACAGTTTATCGTACATGGCATATAAGTCGTACACGCTACGAGAAATCGTTACGATCAGACAGTACAATAAACAGCGCCGACGCACACGTGTCAGCGATGGCTTCGACGGACGACGTTTTAGCAGTTGTTGGATTAATATTCGCCCTGAAGGAAAATAAAGTGAAGCAAAAAAATCGTAGCATCTGGTGCAAAGAATGGCTAATGAAAAGAAGAGTTCATTCTTATGTCAATTTGTTCAATTGTTTGTGTCAATCAATTGAAATTTTCGTATTGCTCCGTTCGACTGCACAGTCTTCAAAAATCGTAGGAAACTGTGCAGTTTTATAACATACACGCTACGATTTAACGATTTCTCGTAGTGTGTATGGCTACCATAAGGCTCGCTCGTTTTAAATGGGCTTTGGACTTAGAGCTCCGAATCCGGCATGATCTCTAACAGTCTATCCATGTCATGCTCTATACAAAATGAGAAAGAGAGACTGTTGATCGCGACTTTTTACAGACTAAAAGTTTATGAAGCGGTTTTATATTTATATGAAAAATCTAATTAAAAACCCCCATTTCCCCCAAACTAAATTTATTCAAAGGGAAAAGAAATTTGGGGGGAATCCCCTCAATCTGGCATCAGTGCTGACGATCCAAGGAGCACCGTAAGATGATCTCGTAGTCAAAAACAATATAAGTTAAAACATTGAAAGTCACCTTTAATGCTAACTTATAAGATTTCAATTAAAACAAATGCGCCAAAGAGTTATGTCAGTAAGAAATGCAAGCTCGTAAAATTTTAAATATGCGGAAGAATATAGACCTTATTTCTTTGATTCTACGCGCAATTCTGAATGCGCTGTTAGCAATATAGCAGGTACGGACCGCGAGGAAGAGACGGCCATACAACCGACCATGCATTTGAATATCACTAATATTTTCTATTAAACCAGTTTATAGTATTAGAACAAAATTTGCTTCAAATGCGTAAATTAACAAACATTGATTAGATATCTGTCCAAAAAACGACTCTTTATGTGCTATAAGTATTTATTTCGCAAATTTTCACGGACCTCTGCGGCATGTTGACTTTTCTACGGTCCACTCGTCACTGTGAACCATGAAGTGCTTGAGTCGTGTTCAAGCACTTCGCGAATGGGACACATTTTGAGCACACGTGGTGTTTCTAGCGTATTTAATATCGTTGAGCGGTGACCCCCGCTGCTTCCGCGGCGAATCCTCAAACTTGTAGCGAAGCATGCAAGCATGGAATTGTTGTCTAAAACATCCATCGTATCGTACTCCGTTACGACAGTGACTACGTCGACTTGTGCCATTTCAATGTGAATAGACTATAGATATCAGGTATCAACCATTAATGGTTTGCGAACTGCACGTCACGCTAACGCGCGTCTCGCTGTCGTCTGAATAAGGCCTTTAAAAAACCAGGGGGCCATCGAACATTATCCTATTACGACTATACCACGGCGAGTGTTCTGAGGAGTTATTCTCCCTTATCCCTCCATCACGTTTTCTTCAGAAGACCACGCCCGTTGGCCTACGTCGCCACCGACTTACTGTGGTGACTCATTTTTTTGTCGTACTATTGCCTGCGCACGTGTTCCCTCCTTCCAACAATCTGGGGTCCTTGTAAGTAAGGCGTGTAGAAGCATTTTTGCATGCCGGCATGGTGAGGATGGCTGGTGTGGCAGTTTATAACTACTATACCAGATATCTTTGCGTTTGGACTTTATCACCACTTAACATCAGGTGGGGTAGAGTCATTTGCCTACCTCGCTATAAAAAAAAAAGACGGGTTGCACTCCGGGAGTGCCGGCAGAAGTGAAAACTTGAATATTAACGTTGTGCATTTTTGATATTTTGTAACTAATAAAACTAATTATTTTGCACGAATTGCTTTAATTATCAGTATAAATGATGATGATGATGATCAGTATAAAAGTACTATCATGTATGTAGTAGAATACAATATTTATTTATTGCGCTATCGTACTCAAACATGACAATTTATATTACATTAAAAAAGTTTATCTCTCAGAAAAATCTACTTACATGAATCACGTTTAAGCGCACTTAGCGACATCTATTGGTAAGAAATCAACTTACATAAATCACATTTAAGCGCACCTAGCGACATCTATTGTAAAAAAAATGCATTTTCTTCGCAATAAAGCTGCCACGTGGACATCCTAGATAGAGACTTATTATTATAATACGATAAAATAAAATATTACTATGTTTCGTCCAATATAATGAAAGTCAACAACCTTTCCAATTTTATTGTGTGTCATGATGCGATCAGCCCACGTGTTTAACCTGACGCGAGTTTAACATTTTTTAGCCATACAAAAAAAAGGATACAACGCCGCTAAAGATGTTTTCACTTCAAAAAAAAAATCTTTTAAAAACTTTAAATCTACCGTACCTCACTGTGTCTAATTGACAATGTATCTCCTTAACATTGAGCTCACTCAGTGCTACAAGGAGAGCACTAAAGTATCAGCGTGTCCAGTATGCCAACCGCCTCTGAACCGCTTGGCAAGAGCTTTGCCTCACGCGCACTGTTCGCACTCGCGCCTCGTGTGCCGCATCACCAACCAACCCCTCAACGAGCACAACCAGCCCATGGTGCTGCCCAATGGACAAGTCTACGGGGAGAAGGTGAGATGGATACATGTACTTTTTGGAATTTCAGAAAATAAAAGCTCTTACAGGTCAACGGAAAGAATATAAACGTTTTTAGTCGTTGATTTAGAGATGCTACCTGTTCAGGAAAGTAAGTTCGCTCGAGTACAAAGAAAATCTTCGGAAAGCAGGTAAGCTTTCTGAGAAAAACTGTTTTCTCAAATATTACTAGCGTCCAGATTGGTCTTTAATGCCGGCGACTCTGAACCGCTTGGAAAGAGCTTTGCCTCACGCGCACTGTTCGACCTCGCGCCTCGTGTACCGCATCACCAAACAACCCATCAACGAGCACAACCAGCCCATGGTGCTGCCCAATGGACAAGTCTACGGGGAGAAGGTGAGATGGATAAATGTACTTTTTGAATTGCAGAAAACAAAAGGTCTTGTATACCAAAGCGCAGGTCAAAAGGAAGAAGATAAACGTTTTTAGTCGGCTGCCTAATGGACAAGTCTACGGGGAGAAGGTGAGCTGGATTAATGTACTTTTTGAATTGCAGAAAACAAAAGGTCTTGTATGCCAAAGTGCAGGTCAACGGGAAGAAGATAAACGTCTTTAGTCGGCTGCCTACTGGACAAATCTACGGGGAGAAGGTGAGCTGGATTAATGTACTTTTTGAATTGCAGAAAACAAAAGTTCTTGTATGCCAAAGTGCAGGTCAACGGGAAGAAGATAAACGTCTTTAGTCGGCTGCCTACTGCACAAGTCTACGGGGAGAAGGTGAGCTGGATTAATGTACTTTTTGAATTGCAGAAAACAAAAGGTCTTGTATACCAAAGTACAGGTCAACGGGAAGAAGATAAACGTCTTTAGTCGTTGATTTATAGATGCTACCCGTTTAGGAAAGGAAGTTCGCTCGAGTACAAAGATAATCTTCGGAAAGCAGGTTAGCTTTCTGGAAAATTCGTTTTCTTAAATATCATCTTCCAACCCATCAATGAGTACAACCAGTCCATGATGCTGCCTAATGGACAAGTCTACGAGGAGAAAGTGAGATAGATAAATGCACTTTAGAAAGGACATTGGGCTAAAATGTATGGACGCTACACCCACGTCCGCCACGGCTTAAACTACATTTATTTGAAAGGTATTATAGTCATGTACATCTGTGCCAAAGCGCATGAAATTCCATCCCGGGGGTCTTTAGTTATTTTAAGTTAAATAGGTACAAGTACTATAACGAACGTACATTAATGAAACAAAGGGAATTAATTTAGTTAGATAGTTCGACTCTACATAGGGGGCCCTTATGCTATTCTGCCGCGCTAGAGTAAATCTAGAAGTAAGACGTGTCGACAATTTGTAACTGCAAGTCCTTCATCCCCCGTAAACCGTTTTGAGGTGTCTCAGTAAGTTCAAGCGCAGGATGGTTGGCAGACTTTGTCGTATATCTGGTTGTATAGTACGATATGGCATATTATTATGGTTACTAACAATATAAAATGAAGGTACTAATAAATAATAAGTAATAATAATAAAAAGTAATAATAGGTTAATTAGCTACTTAAATATGTCCATGTGTTATATCTTTTGTCTACCAGGATATTTATTTACGGTGTCGTATCTTTTGACCACCGGGATATTTTTTTTCGGTGTCATAATAAAAAAGGCTAGGTTTTCGTAGATGTATCGATTCATACTAATTACATTGTTGGCGGAGCTGGGTGTGTTTTGCCCATTGTCCTTTCAGAAACAGCAGTGCACACAAGGTCACACAAATCACAAGTTTTTTGATCAATTTCCATAGTTTGGTAACCAAAGGACAGGTCTACGGGAAGAAGTAAAATTGTCTTCGGAAAGCTGGTTAGCTTTCTAGAAACTCCCTTTTGTAATATTACTAGCGTCTAGAGTTCCGGCGCCGCTGATAAATGTCAGAAAGGTGAGAAAAGGTAATCTCCATCAATCTCATAGTGTTGTTGCCAGTGCCGTCTTTGACCTATTGGAGGCCCTGGGCATATTAGGATAATGGGGCCCCTATGACTTCCGTTTGGTGATTTAACAGGAACTAGGGACTTTGTATTTCCCCACCTGATCTGAGGGGGGGGGCCCCTATCGATCGCGGGGCTCTGGGCACTTGCCCAAAGTGCCCACTGGGAAAGACGGGTCTGGTTGTTGCCCAACCAAAGGACAGGTCTACGGGAAGTAAAGTTCGGCCTAGTACAAAGAGAGTCTTCGGAAAGCAGATAAGCATTCTAGAAAATTCCTTTTGTCTGAACGAACACAATCAACCATTGGTGTTGCCCAATGGACAACTCTGCGGGGATAAGATGTATATAACATATGTACTTAATAAACATTTCAGAATGTCACGATCCATCCCATAGTACTGTCGAACAGGTCTACGGGAGAAGAGAAACGATTGGACGTTTTTTTATAGCTAGGTAGGTAAATGGCTTTCCCACCTGATGTTAAATGGTGATAAAGTCGGGACGTTGCTTTAAAGACGCCACCCACTTATGAACAAGACGGAATTTTGGTCGACGACAAGTAGAAACAACTACAGGGTCAAATTTTTAATAGCTGCTTTTCGGCCTTAGTCATAGAGCAAAATCCGTTTAAGAGATTAATCCAAAAAAAATAAATCTTTTTATTAATTCGCAGGCAATCAAGGAGATGGTCAAACTTGGCTCCATCGTTTGTCCAAAGACAAAGGAGGTGTTCTCCTTGAAGAGCGTCGAGAAAGTTTACGTCATGTGAACCATAATCTATGTAAATATAATATACTCTATATGCTTATTATTAGTAAGGGTACGCACTCTGTTTATTAACACTGATATTACATTGTGATCGTTCGAAACAATGTGACTAATATTAAATCAAATCACATGAGTAATTAAGGCGCAGAGATAAAGCTTCATACAAGAGGGTATTATAAAAATATATTTTAAAAAATCTGTCAATTGTTAGCATCTGTATTTAGGACGAATATAGACAGAGGTTTTTACTATTTTTACATTAAAAAATATTGGTAATTCTACTTAAAATACCACGAAAAAGAAAATAGTTTTTTATATATTGTCTCATGACCGAAAACGCCTGAGATTGTGGCGGAACCTAAAATGATGTCACACAAAGGTAAACTTCCGGTCAAAGCGACATCCTAAAAAATGCGTTATATTTCTTGCTATTTTATATACCCAGATAATAGGGATGATGACTATTTTTTTTTCTTCGTTTATCAGGTACATTATGAAAAAGTATTAGACACGTATTTTTTCTTTTTTCACATAATATAAACATTGCAGAGATATATTGATTTGAAAATTTGCATGACGTCACGATTTACAAATAAACAAGTACAATTTTCACTCAAAAGTGACGTCAAGAGCCCCTACTCCCAAACTTTGACGCGCTATATCTTTGTCATTTTTTGGTTGATTGCCCAAAGAAAAATTCGTGTCCATTATTTTTTGATCACCTAACTGACGGACTAAATAGAATTTCGTTTACTGTACCCCGTCATCACCCCTATTGTGATAATACAGGCTTTCATATTTTAAAAAGATTCGCACGAAAAAAATGATCTGTAAACTAATAAACTTAACCTGAAGATGTGTTAATAGAATTATTTAAAATTAACTTTGTCGTCAGTTCTACCCGCTACAGTTAATCGATTTTTGAGTTACAGAGATCCATATTTTCTGTGGTGTCCATATTATTCAATCAGCTTTACCGTAGTATTTTTTGTTTGGTCCTAACTTCATTATCTAGCTAGAAAATGGCATTTTTATCCAAGTCCCCGGCGGGTGAGACCGGTTTTCATAACGCGCGCTACTTTCGGACTGTTAAGGGGTATGCGGGTGACGACTCTCGAAAAGCCTGTGCTTTTGCGACTATATAGAATGTTGACAATTCGAAGAGGGTAGTTTTTTAATAATATATTTTGTGTCCATAAACACTAATAACGGGACTTTTTGGCGGGATCCGGAAGCGTCACTTTAGCAGTTTTGTTTTTCTTGTTAAAAATTGTGTAGTGGCGGATGTTAGTGTCTAATAATGGTGGATTATTAACCACTAAGTGTTCGGGAACATGCACAAGTGTTGGCAAGTGAAACAAAATAGCGGAAAGTGTCTTTCGACGTTCCCTCAAGAAGTCCACAGGGAGGTTCCAGTAAATCCCCTTTACATTTACTGAAACATAGGGAAAGGGCGTTTGACTTGACTGCCACTTACTTTGACTTTATTTATTACCTACTTTGACCACGAGTGCTATAGAATTTGTAAGCATTTTAACGCTTGACGTTGGCTAAATGCACAGGCCGTGCGAAGCCATTTAGAAAAATAAAACACTAATAACGTAACGTTGTCGAATACCCTATTGCGTGTGTGTGTGAGTACTGGCGTATGACGTGTAAAGCTGTGCATTATTTGCTCATGTGATTAATAGTTGAGGGTAGTTGGTGAATCTAACTTCCATGTGACTTAATATTTTAGAGGTGGTTGCAAAATCATACATAACGCGATTTAGTACGTGATGAAGAATAAATAAGATTGATAATTCTCTTGTTGAATAACGTTCAACCGAATGTGCCAATAAACAGAGTATGTTATCCAAAATAGCTTTTAAGATCTGCCATTGTGTTTTTAAAGTGAGTGATTGTTTTCTTTTCGTACCCACTGTTAAAGCGGTGTACTGTATTTATTTAATTTTTTTATTTTAGTGACTTCACGATTTTAGACGAAATGAAATGAGATCTCGCCCAATATGTATCTTACAGCTCATTCACATTGAAAGCGCGGTCGTACTTTGTAGGTACCAACCTATTATTATGTACAAAAATTAAGATATCGTTCGCAGGAGCTCTTTTTCTCGTCTTTATTAACACTTCGAATCAACTATGATTTTTCTTGTTTGTTCGTGTTCGCATTCACACCTTAGCCTTTTCTTATCGGGCGACGCATCCTTTGGACGTATGTATCAAAATTCAAAACGCCTAACGGGATATAGACGCGCGTAAAAAGGTGCTCCTGTGAAAAATAAGTTTTGGTTCTCCGCGCTTTCTACGTCGAGTACGGTTAGCAAATCCGTCCTCAGATAATATTTATTGGGCAAGGTCTAGTATAACGGTATTACTCTAAAATTGTAGTGTTTTATTTCTTTTCCAGTAATTATCTAGTACCTACATTTTAAAGGTTTTTATTGATTTATCGGCTTTTATGAATATAAAAAAGTGTTGTGAGTTACACATAGGATTCTTAAGCGTTTGAGTCACACGATATTATGTAAGTTTGATTCGCTTTGATTTAGGGCTTATTTTCATGTACTGCCATACAATTTTTCGCATGTAGAGAAATGAGAAATTGGACTCTAAATTAACCAGTGTTCAAATGTTGATTAATGCAGTGCTATTCTGTAAATTTCAATTTCACTTCGTATCTTCAATTAAAAAAATTAGCCTGGGCAATCACTTTTTAATGTTATTGCAATGCAAAATCTGTAATATGCTGTGATTTCAACTGTAAGTGTTTTAAATCTATTAATTTGAAGATGTTTCAAGTTAAAAATACTTTGCTGTATCCAGTTTTGTGTCTGTTTATAGAGTAGATTTACTTCATATCTGCTAAGTTCCCTGGGGCACACATCAAGTTTATTTTCTTCTTACTTCTTTCTTAAAGTTGTTACCAGTGCCGTCTTTGAACTGTTGGAGGTGTTGGAGGCCCTGAGCATATTAGGATAATGAGGCCCCAATACCCCCGTTTGGTGATTTAACAGGAACTTTGTATTTGATCTGAGGAAATCGATCGATCACGGGGCCCTGGGCACTTGCCCAAAGTGCCCACTGGGAAAGAGGGGTCCGGTTGTTACAATGTGCTTATTAAATTGAATTGGCGATACGAAGTTCGAATGATTTCGGTTAATCCCAAGAATATATTTTTATATGAAGCCAATGTTAATGAAATATGCCACATAATAGTTTTCCATCGATCTCTCTCTCTCTCGAAAAGCTGTGCCTTTGGGACTATACAGAACGTTGACAATTCGAAGAGGATAGTTATTTATTGATTGATTTTGTAATAGTGTAGACTGAATTATATGATGTTGAATTTTGCAGATTGCAGAATAGCAAAGTATATTTGTATTTTATGTGTTAAATATCTACCTTTTTACTATTTTGAGACCTAATCGTGTATGTACTGTACTTTAATATGAATAATATACGCAACTTGTTTAAGCAATGTGGAATCTCATTGTATCATACCCACGACCACGTGAAATTGAGAAATATATGCAAATCGAAATGATGTTTGTTACTTTTCTTAGCTCATTTGGTTACCCACCATATATTGTAAGTTTATCGCCAATCTGCAGTTTCAATCAATCTATAATAAAAAATAATAAAAACACATCGTCATGCCGATGGGCATCTCCAGCTGGACATATTTAGTTTTGGTAAATAGAAAAAAAAATATACAATAAAAAAACAATAAATTCACTAGACTCATTATATATCAAGAATTAAACATTAGTGCTAGTGGTTAGCGCATTCGGCTGCGATAGTTAAAGTTAAGCAAATTTCACAGCGGCCGGTCATTGAATGGGTGGACAAAAAATTTACTATGTCGAGGATGTCGGACTGTCGTCTCCCCTGATTACCCCCTACGTGAGACTATTGTGGTGTCTGTTGTTGTTAAAATTGTATCTAGTCTAGCCCCTCTAGCTTGTGCACCGCGATATGATATATAACGCGTTTTTATCACGCGCAATTGTCAAATTACTATGGAGTTTGACGCGATAAAAAATGTGATATAATGTAAATTGTGGTGCTCATGCTACGGGGACTGGTGGGAGAATCGGGATTATAGATCATCATCAGCCTATTAATGTCCCCACAACTGGGGCACATACCTTCCCTATGTATGGAAAAGGGAGATTGAGCCATGACCCACCACGCCGGCCCAGTGCGGGTGGCTGGGTGCTAACGACTGCAGATGAAGCCGGGACCAAGTTCTGCAATACTCCCATATTATATGGCGATCTTATGAAATTTAACTCGAGAAAATTCAGTCAAATGTTTAATTAAAATAAGACGAGCCTTTGTTTATAAAGACTACAAATACCGGTTATTCAGTAATTGTAAAACATCATTTTAATTCATTTTATCGATAGCAGCCGAACACGCTAACCTCTTGCGCCATCGAGCTTATCCTCGAGGATTATAGATACACTATTAAAAGAAGTCCTGTACCCCTAGCACAAACCAAAATCGAATTAGTAACGTTTGCGAGTCCGAAATGTCATTGTCAAATGTGTACTGATTTTTAGTTCCCGTTACGTCCAAAGTGGCGCTGCTGTTCAGGTTTCCATACAAAATTTGACATTGACATTTCGGTTTGCAAACTATTCGAATTCGATAATGGTTCGTGCTAGAGGTACTGATGTCTCCCCTAGATTGGGGAGACATCCAATACTTTAGAAATCCTGCTGTCTCCCCTATGGAAGCTGTCAGGGGGTACAACAGTCCGACAGCATCTCGAGCTCCTCCGTGCTTGGGAAGGCACGTTAAGCCGTTGGTCCCGGCTGCATCTGCAGTCGTTAGCACTACCAATACGCAGTGGGCCCGCGTGGTGGGTCGTGGTCCAATCTCTCTATTCCATCCATAGGGTAGCCTGTGCCCCAACAGTGAGGCCATTAATATGCTGATGACTATAATGGTGATTCATGGATAGGAATTTTATCTCTATAAAAAAATCATGACAAATTCTGAAGTCAAAGCGCAGATAAAAGACAAGGATTTCATACATGCAGTTTGGTAAAAAAAAAACAGTAGTTTGTACATAAATCCATATATTTGTAATTTTTTATGCAATATCGATTACTATCGACATAGAATACTCGTAAATGGCATTATTTATCACATAAAATTACTTAAATCTAACAAAATAACTCTCAATTTTTGAAAGGGAATTTTATATTTGTATTTGTATGAACAATAGTTGTGATATTATAAAGCATAATTTCTTAACTAGCAAGATATGACAACTAGTGACACACTGTGCTAAAATGCTATCAAAGAAATGGAAGCATTGCGTAAACTCGATATATGTTAAAGAATCACAAAAAAATATATTAATTTATTTAATAGAAGAATACCAAAAGACTTCTTTTAATAGTTATAGGATTAGAGTTAGAGTTAGTTAGTTTATAGTTTATAGGATTTACTCCACCATTGTTGTCATGACACTGTGACATGTCTTTTTTCATGGAGTTTCTTGGAACGAATCTACAGAGTGGGTATTTTTTCATAGTCTGTAATTGAAAGTTCTCATTCTCATTTACATTATATTTGAAAGTAAAGATGGACAGAAAAGTGGTACTTAATCCATTAAGTCCGGTATCCGGTATATTTATCCGGTAAGGCGTCGTCCTAATTGGTAACGATCGCACGATGACACGACACGATCTTATCGTGCGATAAAAATAATGTAATTGTTATAATTTTTTATTTTATTAAGCATGTAAATGCTCGATGTTTAAATCTAAAGAAAATATTACAAGAAAAAAATCCACGCGGACCAGGCAGCAGACGGGACTCGAACCCGCACCCTACGCTATCCGGGCGAATGCACTGACCATTATGCTACCGCGGCCCTGATGGCCGTCTCGAATTCTTCCTCGCCTTACTTAAGCTGCAAGGCGGCGCCATTTCTTCGAATTGTAGGTAACCCACAATGTCGAATGAATACCTTTACAAGTATTAAAAATTTTAAAGAAGAAATAAGTTTTATGGTTATAATGTAAATGTGCTCGTGCGATGGCTTACGAACTGTATTAGGGTACTTCGGAAGAAATCGGTATGTTTGAAATCATCGCATGACTAACTGCTGGTTCCCACTTGTCGGGTTGCGGATTTCGACGAAGTTCTTGATGTGATGTACCTATTATTATTTAAGAAAACAAAGAAAGAGAGCCAAGGAAAGTAAATATTGGGTGCACATAATCCTGAGGGAAAGATTGTATTGGGTACATCTCAGAACTTAATAACAGAATTGAGAAGTGACGAAATTTAGTGTTTCTATTACTGTAGGATGTCAATATTCACATTCAACGATCAACTGACTCAAATATTTGTGAACATAAACTACCAAAATACAGGACTTAGAGACTGCATTTGTAGTGAGGAAGAGTTGCGTTACAGACGGAACAAGGTTAGCGGGGGAGCATAGTTAGCCCCGATACCCCACAAATATGAACCAGCGCTATTCTAAATCATAGGCGAGCCAGATACGACACGATTTTTTCCGGGTGTAGAGGGCTGGCAAAACACCCGACACTTCTTGTCGGAGCCGACACAAAATCTGTTTCCGATAAGTGTGAATAGCTTCATACATATTGCTCTGCCACTGGAGCCTCCGATTAATATACGGATCCGACACCCGACAAGTGGGAACGAGCTCTTAGACTTTTGATTCTTCAAACCGATGGATATCGGGCATTGCGCAAGTATATTAAAAGATTGGCCATCTCCTAACCAGGGATGCCTAATTTTAACTCTAAAGTAACACAATTCTTAAAAATTTGGTTTAGTATAAATTTAAAAACTTAAATTCCAAATATTTATTTTACAAATTTAAATTTTAACAGTATGCAATAATGCATTTAAATGAATGGCAGATTTATCGGAGTAGCCGGCACTTGTGGTGTACAACGATAACATCTTTTTCAAGCAGTTACAGAATAAAAAATAATACTTGCTTGTATTTTTTCAACGACGATTACTGAATATTATGTACAATTATTTTCAAATTAACTTATATTTACAACAGAACGTAACACTGTATTATCTATAACAATTTAATAGTGGCATCGTTTGTACTATTGACTATCTGCCGTTCTCAAATGCTATCATCAGTAACAAGCAGGTATAACCATAGTTATGTTGCTAAGTGAACCATTATTATTCACCAATAAATTGGCAAAAGCATATATCTAGTATTCTATTACTTAGGAAGGATAAACTTTCGTGAACGGCCTTAAGGTGTTAAACTTATTAGCACTATGCTCTAAGGTGATTTTGCATAAATTATTGGATTTAATCTCCATATTAAAAAAATATACAATATTATAATTGAGTATGATATTTAAAGAGCCTCAGACTCGTATTCGTTTATTTACAACACGATCCCTATGTTATCGATCGGAAACAATGTGATTATTAATCAAAAGTATGTACAAGCAACAGCATATTTAGTGTGTACAAAAGTGCCAAAAGCTTGGAACCAAAAATACCGGTAAATAAAGGTTAATACCGGTTTTTTAGTAAAGGTTTCGTGCGGAGCGCGTCCGAAATGAAAGCGGTACCTAAAACATTAATAAACCGGTTTAATCCAGAGCGACACGTGCACGCGTCGGCATCGCTTGAAGTTTGTTTTGTTTGAACTAATCAAGTCACAACTTGTTAACGTTCAGAGATTGATGCATTTATTGACACGTTTGCTAGCGTCTAGTGAGTCAAGTTATTCATTTTGTATTTGTGTATATATTTCAGCAGTCAGAAAGAGCGAAATGAAACCCTTTAAAAACCGCTAAATTGATTCAAAACCTATTTGATTTCGCTTTTTAGTAAAACCGGTTTTTTAAGGTTAAGGTAGAGCCAAACCTAAGTAAAACGCTCCTAATGTACTTGATACTGATTTAGGTTTGTAAATTAACCGGTAAACAAGCCCTACAGCGTAGGTATAAGACAGTATAGTAAATATTTCATGAAAAAAACAATGTTTAACAAACTATAAGGTATTTTTGAATTGAATCTATACCGACACAGAAACATTTACCTATTCAAATCTGGTAGGAATACACAAAACCACAAAACAAAAAATCAGTTAAGTCTATTAAAATCATAGCATAGTAGCTAATCACCGAACACGTCGTGTTGACATTTAGTACTCAATAATCTTGAAACTTTGTTTTAACAAAACTTGCTGTTGATTGTACCTATGTATTATAATTTGTTTTTTATTTTTCAGTATTTCGGCTCATCACATCATATTTATAATTAAAATAGTCTCGCACCAAAATTGCATTGGGACTGTGTAACGCCCATTAACAAAAACCTGTGTCCCATCAGATCAGATTAGTAGCACGATTGATGACAGATTAAAATAGGTTTTGTTTTTGGATTTATTATGAGCATACAAATTTAACCTTACATTCTTAACAATAAAGGATACCATTGACTTTAGTATGTGATGGGCCATATTGAAACTAATAATAAAACATGATAAACTTTTTTATAGAAATATGAAAGTAGCTACGAACGTAATGTATTCATGCAAAGTGAGACCAATTCCACAAAACTCAACAAATTATTTGCAAATTTTGAATAATATGTATATTCTCTGTAAATAACATTCTTCCTACTTCCCCAATCCTTACTCTTTAGTATTCCGTATCCTTTTGCTTTAAAATCCTTCCGATTCCCTATTTTTTTTTGTTATTGACTGTGGCTTAACGCACAAGTCTTGCAAAGCCAAGAAAAAAGAAATAAAAAAAACAACAAATTATTTGTTGGGAAATGAATTCAAGGCAATTACTACATGCATTACTTGAACCCTTAATGTATTCTGTTTTGTAATAAATTGATTCTTAAAATTATTACGATAGGTCTCAGTTTGCGAGAGTACTGTTCATAATTGTAATAATCTCATCAACTTTTCTGCACAGTATTTTTTTTTGTATATTTCTGCATTAAATTAAACACAATAAAACGTTGCACTGAAAAATACTGCCTTACAGAAAAACGTTGCACTTATAGCTACCAAAACGAAAGCTTTGAGACATTAAGATTTGTCTTCAATGCGACAACATGATGGTTACAATATTGATAAAATAACAAAAAAAATGCTTTATAAACAGGATAACAATTGACTTACATATCAAACTAGATCTTAAAGCTATATAAACAAATTACAAATTCATCTGTTCGCTGAATTGAAGTACGGACGACGGTCGTCTCTTTGTAAACTTCGTATATTCGAGGTTTACACATTGTAGAACAGAATTTGTTTATTCGCAGTCGTTCTTAATAACATATCCCGGATATCCTATCCGCAGTAAGAGATAGGGTTACCCTATACACGTAGATACACTATTTCATTGGTTCCATTGCCTTTTGTGTTTTCAGATAAACCTAAATAATAAAATTAACATAATTATGAGCACCGAGATATGATATATATATATATTTATATCTCGTTTTTATCACGCTTAATTGTCAAATTACTATGGAGTTTGACAGTTAGACGCGATAAAAAATGTATAATGTGGTGCTCATCATCTCTTATGGCGGATAGGCCCTTAAGCGCGACCGTAAAATAAACATGAAGCGTGTTCCTCGAAGGTTTATACGAAGGCCCACTCGTAGCAAAATTGCTAAATCTCGATGCAACTAAAACTAACTTTAACCCATAGAAAAATGACAAAACGTCAATTTGATACTATTGTATGGGCTAAATCTAGGTTTACTTAAATCGATATGGACCTAAATCACGTTATCTTTTTCCATCGCATAGCATTTCTAATAACAAGAGGTCGTCAGCATCAACCTCCCTGTACAGGGTGAAAGGGAAAACAAAGCGACAAGTTTTGAGCAACAATTTAATTCTTATACATCAAATACGTCATCGCATCATAGGGATAACCATTTACACGGATTCCATCGGAATTTTGCATTTATTAAATAGGGAAAAGGAATACAATGGATTTATGCGGTAAAGTATTACAATTTTGCTAAATTATTGTTCTATTTATTTATTGACGTTACGCAGCCTTTTCAGGTCTGCATCGTCAGAATAATGATTTTTTATTTAATTTTGTCGAGCTACCTTCGAAAGACTTTTTAATAACCGAACGCTCAATAAAACTCTTTCGAAGGTAGCTCGACAAAATTAAATAAAAAATCATTATTCTGACGATGCAGACCTGAAAAGGCCGCGAAACGGCAATAAATAAATAAAGTCTCGTGCATTAATTCGTTAAAACTAGTTTTATTTAATGAGTGATGTGCATGAAAATAAATTATTATTCATTCTTAGAGTAGTGGTTACCGCAAAATGCCGTATTTATCCCGATCTAGGCTGCTGTTAAAATGTCCGAATTTTTTACGACTTTTCAAATGGTGATCCCTACGTATTTGCGTTGGCAACATAACGCAATGAAAAAAAAAGAAAAAAAATCGAATTTGTAAAATATCACAACTTTAAAATTATCCAATACTTGTTTTCCCCTACCCCCGTGTCCAAGACTAAATTATGACGTTTTTAACAAATTTCAATATTTAATTTATAATGATTATGCGAAGTAATGAGTCATGACCGCCATGACTGCTATGCCGGCCAGCAGCGCGGCCAAATGTCTGGCAGACTGGCGACGATCCCTCTCGCGCAATAAGTCCGGCAATACAGTCACTAGGGCTATGTGCAGGAACCCGCCCGCGGTGAAAGGCACTATCCATGAGGTTTTAGCCTCTATGATGTAAAAATAAATAGATATTAAATTTATCCTATAAACGAGGAGCTCGATGGCGCAGGTGGTTAGCGCGTTCGGTTGTGATCGTTGAAGTTAAGCAACTTTCGCAGTGGTCGGTCATTGGATGGGTGACCAAAAATCTTATATCTCGAGTTCCTTCATGCTTCCGAAGGCACGATAAGCTGTTGGTCCCGGCTGCATCTGCAGGCGTTAGCACCCACCAATCCGCACTGGGCCCTCGTGGTGGGTCATCGCCCAATCTCCCTATTCAGCAGTGGGGACGTTAATAGGCTGATGATGATCATGATGATGAAATATATATATTAGTCCAGCTCCAGTCAAATAAAGACGCATCACAGGTTGTAAACGGAAATACCGAGGTTGAGCCCTTTTTTGGCTTATTCGACTGGACTATGTAATATTTTGTAAGAAACTAGAAGAGAGGAGACACGACAGAAGTTCTCCTGCCCAAAGGGTTAAAAAGTGAGTCTGAATTTTCTAAACCATCCAGAGGCCTGAAACAACTAAAATTTCATCAAAATCGGTGTAGCCGTTTAGGAGTTCCGCATTACATAATACGGACAGAAGAAATGTGTACTTAAATGAAGATACAAATATAAACAACATTGATGAGCTCTCGACGATACGCAAATGGTAGCGCATCGGTAATCGTGGGAATTAAGCAACTTAGAAGTAACATATATAGATGGGTGACCAGAAATCTTCTATCTCGTGTTCCTCAGTGCTTCGGAAGGCACGTTCAGCCGTTGGTCCCGGCTGCATCTGCAGTCGTTAGCACCCACCAATCCGCACTGGGCCCGCGTGGTGGGTTATGGCCCAATCTCCCTATTCCATCCATAGGGAAGGCCTGTGCTCAAGCAGTGGGGACATTAATAGGCTTATGATGATGGGTTACCAAAATTAATCATCTTAAACTCCTCAGTATTTCGGAAGGCGCGTTCAGCCGTCGGTCCCGGCTGCATCTGAGGCCTAAGAACGAATTTTTGAACGTATCGTTTCATCAAAATTTCTATGAAACCTAACACAGAACACAGGAAGAGGTTATAAGGGTGCTCGTATACCGTTTGTAAGGGGAGCGATGTCGCCGGCTCGCCCCCTATTCACTTCCAACTAATATATAATAGCCAATCAAACGAAGCGACATCAAACAATCAACCCAATAAGCGCTCACACCCGAGAGCAACGACGCAATCAGAACCAATTTTTGGTCAAGTTATGAGCATTTGCTCACACAAACATGTGTAGCGCGTGCCCCGCCCTCAAGGCCCTTCAACCTCTTTCTATACTCTGTGAAAACAAAGCATTGCCCTCCAACACTGTCACTTATGCAAAAAAATCATTTTTTCAGGAGAAGCGTTTAAAACTTTAACATCCCAAAACATACAATGTTTAAAGTTTTTGAAGTTATACTTCTTTAGGCGCGTTATGAAAAAATGATGAGAGTGAAATTTTAAGATGCGCGCGCATCACTGTAACACAAAATTTTAACAGCATGAAGTTGGTCGCTTTAGCGACCAACTTCATGCTGTTACTTTTGTGTTTACCGCACATTAAGAAAATCTACCAACAAAATAGAAATAGAATCTCTATGTAGTGGGTGCTAACGACTGCATTGTGAAGGCCTATCAAAAGTATTTATTAATCTGGAACAACGGAACCAAAGCGCGATTCAGGAGACTACAGCGCCATCTCTTGACCATTGGTGTAGTAGAACCAAAAACCACATCTTTATTTTTTGTAATAAAGTAACAGTTATAGGTATTCATATTTATAATATTTATCCACATGTTTCTAGTTTGTATATTCGGAATACGTGTTTGAGTTTCATACAAGTGCAAATCACATATGTTCTAATAAATTATATTCAGTAGCGATTTTAATTGAATATTTTGATTATTTTTTCAAATTAAAACTGAACTTTATTGACTGTGTCCTTTTCCAGACTTTTTATTAATTTATTGTAATTAATTATTTGCAAGCAATTAAAAACTAATTTTAAACGATGCCAAAGAAGGATAACTTCTCACGCGCCTACATAAGTACACGCACCCATTTTTTTTTATTTTTTTTTGAAGGAATAGCTAAAGCTGTATAAGCTTTTCATCACGTAAATATCTTTAAATATTGTATGTTTTGGGATGTTAAAGTTTTAAACGCTCATCCTGAAAAAAAAAGTTTTGTGCATAAGTGACAGTGTCGCACCGCGGAGGTGCGTCATATCGGACGTAAGAGCAAATTAGCTTTTTCCATACAAAGTTTGAGTATGACGATAAATTACGGGGCTGTCAAAAATCCGTGCTCGGGCCTCTGTTTGGATCCACATATCAGCACTGGGCCCACGTGGTGGGTCATGGCCAAGTCTTCCTATTCCACCCATAGTGCCTGTGCCCCAGCAATGGGAATATCGATGATGCTATACCGAATACATACCGTATTTGTATTAACTTACCTATGGCATTTCTCGCCCCACTGAATATTACAGCTGTCATGGCACCAATCAGCCCAGCAGACGCAGTCGCCTTAACACAAAACCAATAAATTATGATGTCGGGCACAAAATAGCCCATGTGTTAAATTAACATTTAATTACATTATGTTAAACGTTTATTAAATGAAGGAAATCAAACAAATATGCAAATCCTTCGATCCAATATCTATACTAATATTGAAAATAGATAAAAGTTTGGTATCTACTTCAAATATATCAGTCGGTAAAATCTTATTATTTTCCCTTGCAGTTTTTTTTAAAGTCGGTTCTAAATTTATTAATTGTTGTTACAATTACGTGGGACACTACATGCAAATCGTTATTATTTCACTTCGATTCGATATCAATACTAATAATATGAATTAAGTTAGTGATACCCTTGTAGGGATACCCTCCTCTCTGGGTCTACTAAGCCGATTTTGTAAATTCTGTTATAAAGCCACGTTATTTGTGAGATTAATCAGAAAAATTAAAAGACGACTAGGTCCGCTAGTGTATTTGAGAAGGGGGAGCGAGAAAATGAATGAATGATAAAAATTAGAAAAAGGGTATGAATGACAGCTTATTGCAGAATATTTTACACAAAACAATTTTATCGTGAACTACCCTTGATTATAAGCGAGAGTACATACTAGTAAATATTACATCCAACCTTACAAAAACAAGAATAATACAATAACAGGAAAAAAACTTAAATATCAATAGTACAAGTATATTAAAATACTTGGAATGTGTGTGTGCGTGTGTATTTATTGTCACTATTAGAGAACCAGCCTACCTCATATAAAACAGTATCATAGGGAATATGCTTGTAATTAAAATAAGGCTCATTTTTTTTGCATTTTTGAGCAAGAAATTAAATATTGAAAGGTGCGAGAAACTTGTGGGAAATTCAAATATCAGAAACGCGAGAGAGCGGTTGTAACATAGACTTACTTATCAACAAAGAAGCGCCATGATCACAGGATATGTCAAAGCCAACGAGACTTAGTGAGAGAGATGTGCGCGCGCACCTAACTTTTTTGATCCTTGTCTGTTTTGTTGCTATACTCTATTCATCTTGCTCAGAGCAAAAACGTAAACAAACCATAAAATAAATAAAATATATATACATATATTTCATCACATCATACATATATAAACATAGATACATAAAACAAAACCAAAAAATAAATGGTTTTTAATAGGTAAAATTTTATACGCATAAGAAACAATAACTAAAAAAAAAGAGTCACTTTAGACCTAAAACTGTAGCTATTAACTTTGAACGCATTATAACACTACTAAATTGAAGAGTATTGATCAAGAAAATACTTTACGTTCAAATGTGAAATTTTGAATTCAGTCTGGTTACACTGGCCATGTTTAATCTTAATAAAAATGTTTACGAACATTTATTTGTTTAGTTTGTCTCAGAGGAAGTTGAAGGTTGCTATAGACTGTGACGTCACACCAAGAGTTCCAAAATAGCGAGCGAATAAATAGCTGTGCAACGTAGCTATTTGAATTTTTTTGTAAGACACTACACTATTTTTTCGATGTTGAAATTTTTTATACTAGTTTGACTATGTATATTAAGGGAATGTAAACTAAGAAATAAAAATATAAAAAATAATCATACATATTCCCTATTATACGACATATGTACAGCAGTAGCGATGGGCGTTGAATTAACGAATGGTTTAAATAGACGGTCTACAGTTAATTCGTTAACTAGTTGAATTCATAGACGGCTAAACTGAGAGTCCACAGCTTTCATATCTACTGACAAAGCGTCGACGACGCGTAAACGTATCTGGTTTACCCGTTACAAGTCCATACGTTCGTCCATTCGTTGAAATAAAGCAATTTGAAACTTAAGTATATGGCGTGGGAGTTGATATTTGTTCATTTTTAAAACTAGAGTTGTTAAAGTGAAAAGGTAAGAGTATTTTTATATTGCGTGAAAGAGTACGTCGATGGATCTGGCTAAACGATGCAGTGCAGGATGAACGGGTTTATAATAATGGTTTTCCTCAAGTAGTTGCAGTTTTGTTTATTGAAATTTGAAATTAGTGTGTTGCGAGGTCAAGGTCAAGGGACACGTGAATGCGAATTTAGTGCAAAGTTCGTTTAAATTGAATGTTTATGTTATGAGTTTAATTTGTAATTTATTTTGTAAACATTTAAATGACTATAATGTAAACTAAATAAAGACCCCGTCGTCGTCGTTGCGTCGCGCCCGCAGACCAGTCACCGCGTAGTTGATATAAACCCTTTAAAGCCTGCCGTTATCACGTCAACTAGTCGAAGAATTCAACTAGTTGATCGACTAGTCGATGGACGGTTTCGTTTTGTCGACGAAAAATACGTCGACGACCCACCTCTATACAGCAGTATAATTAATGACGAATTTCAAAATGTCTTTATTAAAAAAAAAATATTCGGTTTGTTAGAACAGGAAAAGGGGCCGTTCAAGTATTACGTAACCAGATCAGATTTATTACAATTATTTACCGCCCCCCTCCCCTTGTCAGCAAAAGTAAGCAAAGCTCTTCCCCCCCCCTAGCTTACGTAAACATTGGTACCTATATGCAATTTTCCTTTAATGTATTCTGTTTTTTTTTATTATTTCATGAGCTTTCATAAGCTTTCATGAGCAGCAGTATTTAAATAAGCTTAGGTTAGAGCACTTTATCGCACATAATATTAATTTAAATAAACTTTATTGACACAGTATTCAACATAGAGAAAGGTACAAATATTATAAGTACTATTACGAACTAAACACACTTTTTTCGAATTTTGGTATACATATTAATTCCAATTAACAGTCTTCAGTCCATGGCGAATCCATGATGCTGACGTAATGACTATCTTGACCCCCCACCCCCCATGTCATCAATAAGCAAAGCGAAGACCCCCCTGCCCCCCTATAGTGCTTACGTAATACTTGAACGGCCCCAAAGCTGTACTTACCAATTGCGCTTTAGCAGCTTCCCACCTAGAGAACCCGCTCTTCAATAATATGGCAAAGTCCCCAACTTCGTGAGGTATTTCATGAACTGCAAACAGAAAATATTACATGTTTTTTTTTATGTTAAAAGAGAACACAAGCATATGGCTCGCCTAATGATTAGCGGTCACCTTATCGATACAAAAAATATTACTCGCGCCGCGCCGTTACCTTCATCATCATCATCATCAGCCTATTAATGTCCCCACTGCTGGGGCACAGGCCTTCCCTATGGATGGAATAGGGAGATTGGGCGACGACCCGACGCGGGCACAGTGCGGATTGGTGTGTGCTAACGACTGCAGATGCAGCCGGGACCAACGGCTTAACGTGCCTTCCCAAGCACGGAGGAGCTCGAGATAGTAATTTTTTGGTCACCCATCCAATGACCGACCACTGCGAAAGTTGCTTAATTTCAACGATCGCAGCCGAACGCGCTAACCACTTGCACCATCGAGCTCCTCGCCGTTACCTATTCTCACCCAATCCCCTACCCCGTGGAGCCTTAGTGCCTTTTCACATACAAAATAGTAATGTATGAACAACAATGAGAGCTTTCACATTGCACGGCGACCGTGCCGTGACCGCGTGTCAGCCGTCCTTATCCACTATATGCACGGTTTTGACGCGGCAACCGTCTTTATAGTCTTGTATGGACTTGTATAGACGCGTTCACATGAACACGAGCGCGGTACGGCACGGTGAGCGCAAATACCATTCGCCAGCTAAAGTCTAAGGGAACGGACGGACGATTGTTGCAGAATGTCTGTCGAAATCGATGTTGATGTGTTGATTTCGCTAGTTAAAGCGCGTCCTACTTTATGGGATAAAACCATCGTGTCTTTTAAAAACAGGAACGAGACAAAAGAAGCGTGGAAAGAAGTATGTATAGGATTAAATAGTAGTTTTGAAGAATTAGATGATAATGAAAAGAATCTTTTTTTGTTCCTAATAAAAGACGTCGTCGTTCCCCAAAATTCTCGATAATACTGCAACATCCATAGCCGGCGACCGTGTGTAAGCCGTATACATGTGAAAGAGCTAGAACGGTTGCACGGCATGGCGGCCGTGCACTGACCGTGTGCATGTGAAAAGGGCCTTACACAGCGACAGAAACACAACACGACCAAAAGGTAGTGTTATTTTACTGTGAAGTCTGTAGGGTAAGGTGGAGGTTACTTCCCAAGACGGGCTCCCCGCTTTGATCAGAAAATCCAATATGGCCGTACATTCCTTAAATTTGAGACAGTTGATTATCTGAAGTGACGCACACTACGAATATCACTATTATTCCAACGTAATAAAGATGCTGGCGTGATGTTGGCAGCTGGTGATGATGATGTTGGCATGAAAAGAATCGGTGAAAATTTTCAACGTGACCACTTTAAACAGTGACCTTATAATGTATACCAACATGATGGTCCAATGTTTACACCAGACTGTAAGGTTTTTTCCAAAGTGGGCGTAACATCTTTGTGTGGGCTGGAAGCCTACAAGGACGTTAAAACCAGAGAAAATTGGAGGATATTGTGTTTATACTTTTATGTTGAAATTTTACTTAAAAATTTTAGAGAGAGAAATATTTTGTTAACACACCAAAATACAAAAAGACAAAACAACAATACAAAAAGAAAAACACACACATTTAGAATAATTTAAAATCTTTTTTTACCTCAAGTAACACTTTTTTTTTTCTCGAAAATCACTATTTTGCTGTTTGCTTATATTCGTAATTTGTTATCAAGCAAAAGACAACAAAACAATTCAGCCGTTTGCAGAGAGAGAAAACAAAACGTAGTCCGCTATACACTCGCGATGCGTAGAAGTCTACTTTTCTGTCTCGCTCGCTCAATTGAATGTTTAGATGTGTGTGTGTAAGAGAGTTACTTATGTAGTCGAGTCGGATCAAGTCGTATTTGACGCAAGTACGAGCGTACCCCGTATCATCCCATTTTCAGTTACTCTCAGAAGCCAATCAAACGATAGGGATGATGACTATTTTTTTTCTTCGTTTATCAGGTAGATTATCGAAAAGTATTGGACACGTACTTTTTCTTTTTTTCACATAATATAAACATTGCAGAGATATATTGATTTGAAAATTCGCATGACGTCTTGTTTTACAATTAAACAAGTACAATTTTCACTCAACAGTGACGTCACGAGCCCCTACTCCCAAACTTTGACGCGCTATAACTTTGTCATTTTTTGGTTGATTGCCCAAAAAAAAATACGTGTCTATTATTTTTTGATCACCTAACTGACGGACTTATTAGAATTTCGTTTACTGTACCCCGTCATCACCCCTATTTCTGTGGAATGCATTCCCTCACCGAGTATGGCGAAGGTGGTGAGCACCCCCACCCTGAAGCCGACCAGGAAGGAGCCGCCGACGGCCAGCCCGTGCGTGAAGTTGTCGATCGAGTTGGCCATCAGGTTCAGGTAGCCGGCGACCTGAACCAAATAACCATACAATTAAATAAATATAAATAAATAAAGTAGCTGTCCCAGCGAACTTCGTACCGCCATAAAAAAATAGGGGTTTGGTGGTAGAAGGGTGAAAATGTAGGGTTGTATGTTTCTTTGTATTATGTAACATAAAAAATAAAAACAAAAAATTTAGTCCAAAATTAAATTAAGGATGGACCATCTTTAACATTTAGGGGGATGAAAAATAGATATTGTCCGATTCTCAGACACCGTGACACGAGAATTTTATATATTAGATATTTCCAACACTCACACCAATTAGATTAGCCCCAAAGTAAACACTGTAAGGCTTGTGTTATGGGATGCTGTGGTAACGGATAGAATACATATACTGTACATAGATAACTATATTTATATAGAAATACATATTAAACATCCATGACTGGAGTACAAATGCTCGTATTCATCACACAAACATCTGCCCCAACCGGGATATCTCGAGTCGGCGACACCATGAAACCCGGCTTACAAACCACTCGGCCACAAAGGTCGGAGGTCATCGATTGCGAATGCATTGCGCGTTGTAGGTACTGACAGACTAAATTTAAAAAAAAAATGTAGAAAAATAGGTAGTCATTTATTATTAGTAGAAGAATTATTACAAAGTTGAGATATTATGGCTGAGTAAATGTACCTGCCCCGTGCATGAGCACTGCGATATGATGACACGTTTTTATCACGCTCAATTGTTAAATTACTATGGAGCTTGACAGTAAGACGCGATAAAAATCGTGATATATAAGAAATTGTGGTGATCATGCTACGGGGACTGCTTAGGATACATGGTTAGGATGTGATATGATTTTTTTATTATTTTCTACAAGCGGACCCGACTGACATTGTCTTATAAAAACCTGTCAATAAGTGCCAGTAAAGATTCATGTAGTACAAACAATTTCAGACTCCATTAATAACAAGTAAGATGGTGTAAAAGTTATATATTTAAATTACATTGAAAAATAACTATGTCAGTTTACCAACCCTGTTCACGGAAAAAAGTAAGCAGGTACTGACTTCTGTCATTTCAGGAAAGCGGCTGTAACTGACCGGTGGAACTCCAGGCCAGGTAAAATCTTCTTTCTCGTGTGATGCAGTTTTCCATCCTTTCCTTTTGTAAGCATTTTGCGTGATAAAGAACGTATCAATTAAATATGTCAGCAGTATGCTTGCATCGGTCTTCATCTTCTTGGCTCGCGTGGCTTTATCCCAAAATTTTCTCATCAGATAGTGGCCTATACAACTTCAACCAGACCCAGAGACAGCGACCCCCTTCTATTGGCCTTTGCGTTCGAGTTGGCAAGTACGAGCACTCCACGCGCTGAGCTGCCAGAAGAGCTTCCGAGACTCAGGGACCGCGGTGTGGACTGGCCTCTCTTCGAGCGCCGGACCCACGGGAGAGTGGGTAATTTGAAGTGGAAGCGGCCCGCCTCGGCGATCTGTGCTCAGTTCGCAGCTCTTGTTTTGAGCACCGCGAAGCAGACGCTGGGGTTGGCGAAAAATAGGAATTCGGACACAGGACATGATTGGTGGACGCCTGAGCTTGATCGGCTGCGTCATCTCAACAACAAGTTGAGACGAGTCTGGCAGTCGACTCGCCGTGCCGGTGGCCATGTTGAGGAGGAGGCCAGGGGGCGCTTCCACGTGCATAGGCGTAGGTATAGGGCGGCCATGGAGGAGGCGCAACTTTTGCATTTTAGAAAGATCGCAGATTCCGGAAACCTGAACCCTTGGGGACAGGCCTACCGAGCCGCAAGTGGGAGGTCTAGGCCTCCCCGTAACGTAATTAATGGCACGAAGTTCGCCGAAGGATATGCTGGGAGTGTGAGCGAGGCTATGCACAGCCTCATGTATGCTCTCTGTCCGGACGACGATGTGTCTAAGGACAGCGAGTACCACAGGCAAGAGCGGTTAGTAGCCTCGCTCATACCCTCAGGAGAAGATGCGCGGCCTCCAACCGACAGCGTAGTTGCAGAGATAGTCAAGGACTTGCCGAACACTGCACCGGGTATCGATGGGATCGATGGGATTGAATTTACAGAAGTGTATAGGCGATGTGTCCAAGAGGGACGATTTCCTGATACGTGGAAGGACGGCAGGTTGATTGTTCTCCCGAAAGGGAACGACAGGCAGCTTTCCGACCCAAAAGCGTATCGCCCCGTCACTTTGTTGCCGATCTTTGGTAAAATTTTAGAACGTGTAATGTTACGGTGTGCACCGCAAATACCCAGAGGTTTATCAGACTGCCAGCACGGGTTCACTCGGGGTCGGTCGACGGTGTCCGCCCTGAAGGAAATCTTTAGGGTGGCCAGAGAGAGCTCGTCGAAGTATGTTCAAGCGGTATTTTTGAATATCTCTGGGGCCTTTGATAATGCTTGGTAGCCCATGATCCTGCTCAAGGTGAAACGCGGGGATGTCCGCCTAACATCTTTAGGATGTTGGCGGATTACTTCGTCAATCGCCGTGTGGGCTTGTTCGTGGGTGATCGGGTAGTGTGGAAGGCGGCGACGATGGGTTGCCCGTAGGGATCGGTGTTGGGACCTACGCTTTGGAACGTGCTGATGGACGACTTGCTTCGACTGCCACTACCCGGGGGGGTAAGCATGGTGGCGTACGCCGACGACGTCACGATCCTGATTGAATCCGGAGCCCGGGCGAGCATAGAGGCCACGGCCTCTACGGTTTTGCAGCTCGTCGGTGAATGGGGGGCCTGTAATAGGCTGGACTTCTCTCCTGCAAAGTCTGTAACTATGACGATCAGGGGGAAATTCCAGCGGTCACCCATCATCCGGTTCGGGGGAATTAAATCAGGAGCGTGACGTCGACCACCGTGTTGGGTGTGGCGGTGGACTCGAGTCTCTCGTTCGCGCAGCATGCGGCGTCGATAGGGCGGCAAATTGCTTCGGCAATATGTCGATAGTATCGGCGGCTTCTTGGGGAGTTCGGTACAAGGCCTTGAAGGTTCTGTACCGAGGCACTTACATCGCCACGGTGACGTATGCTGCGGCATGTTGGTACGAGCGCGCGTCCCTTCACGTTGTGCGTAGTGCGCTTTTGCGCACCTAGAGACCCGCTTTGATCCTTCTGACCAAGGCGTACCGGTCGACGAGTTCTGTCGCTCTGCCGGTCTTGGCTGGCGTTTTACCGGCCGACCTCGAGGTAACTGGGGTAGGCAGACTAGGCGATGCACGCGAGGCCGCGGTTACCATCGAGGAGCTTCGGAGCGCCAAACTCAGAATCACTGAGTCTGTCAATGCCGAATGGCAGAGACGTTGGGACACATCGGAACAGGGGAGGGAACTATATCGGTTTTTCCCGGCCCGACTCAAGTATAATTGGGTCGAGCCTGACTATGAAACTTCGCAACTGTTGACGGGACACGGCTGTTTCAGGGGTAGGCTTCACAGAATGAAGCTCGCGGAGGTGGGGTTATGCTACTGCGGGGAGGGAGAAGTAGAAGACGCATACCACGCTCTGTGGGAGTGTAAGCTCTACGGGGAGGCGCGTAGACAACTTCTGGACTGTGTGAAGGTGCTCGAGGTTGGGCCGGTCTACTATCGCGACCTTGTGGGATCGGAGACGAACTTCAGGCGGCTGCGGGATTTCGCGCGTAGATGGCACAAGATTCGGAGTGGTAGGGATATTCGATATACATCGATGCATCGAAAACATCGATGATTGCAATGAAAAACATCGAATCGATCCGATGTTTTAAAAAGCTTTCAATATACTCGATGCATCGATGTTTAAAAAAACATCGAATTGGTAATACAGTTTGACCACGTAGTGATAATATCCTCTTTTTGGTTTAACCTCAGTAAAGAAAAACTTAAGTTTGACTACTAAAATTTTACTTATTACTGTTATGAAAGCATTCCGAATTCTCTGATATGGCTCCGATGTTGGCAGCACTGCGCAAGAGTCAGTGCAGTGACAATAAAAAATAACTACGAGTTTCTATGTTTATAAACATTTAATAACCTTTGGTTTTGTGAAACAAACTAAGATTTAAGTACATATATTTCTAATATTCTATTGCCAGACAGCAAAAATTTTTTAAATTTAAGAAAAAGTAATCGATGTTTGAAATACATCGATGTTTTCATCCGATACATCGATTAACATCGATGTATAGTTGCGATGTATCGAATCAAAAAATACATCGATGTTTTTTCAGAGTGGACACCCCTACGGAGTGGACTCGAGAGGTGAAGAAAGAAGACCCGAGGCGAAGAAAGAAGAGGACTATTCAATTTGGAGCCAGCGGTACCACTTCAGAGTGGGCACGGGACGGCTGGGATGGCGACGAAGGCGTTTCGTGTTCGTCCGCCCCAGAAAGGGGCGAGGGACCATAGGGACAAGGAGATAGATAAAGAATAATTTGTAGGGAGTCAAGAAAGTACGCGCGGTAGAGGCCATTCCGGGCGTATCTCCCGTTGCTTCGGCCTGCATAACCAAGAAGGTTCGTCAGGCCATGGGTGGTTGGTGGGATTTGACCCTTGCATCAGCTATATATATTTTTTGCCGCTCTTATCGTTCTTGGTTTGCGTGGCTATATCCTGAGCTACCCTTAACAGACAGAGACCCATTTAGCTTCAATCAGCCCTGTATCTTTAGACCCCACTATCATCCCACACAGCTTTCACCAGTTCAATATCTTTCCGCCCTAATCTGTACTACATACCTACCTACAAGACCTATCAAAGCTGTAGTATGCTATCCGTATACTCACATCTTTCTTATCGCTCTTCTCCTTCTTGGCTCGCGTGGCTTTATCCCGAGCCTCCCTCAATAGGCAGCGACCCATCCACCTTCCACCAGCGCCGCATCTCCCCTCTCTAGTATCAGATGTACTGCTACAACATCCACCTTCGCCTAAAAGCAATGACACATTACAGGAGCTCTACTCTCTTTCTCCGAAACGAAATTTCGGCAACGAACGTATTTTAAACGAAATTTCGCCAGTGACTCTACTCTATTTCATCTTCGAACACGCACATAAAGTTCTGAATCACAGACAATTATCGTGAACGAATGGAATGAGTTATGTTTGTGAGTTCTTTTTGTCTACACTTTTTAGATAACGTTTTTTACTTCAAAACAATATTACTTTATGACAACATTTTTGATTACATTAAAACAATCTCTTTTGACAGTGTTAGCCGACTAATTTGTAGATTTGATGCAATCGCATGTATGTCAACCTAAACTTGTCGTGTAGCACTTTGAAGTATTGGCAAAATAACAATAAACAAAAATTAGATTTATTTGTAAATTTTTCATACTAAAAAATGTTCCTCACACTAAGCAGCCTTAATTAAAAATACTCTAGTAGTAATTTTAGGTTTAATTTAAACAAAAAGCCCAAAACGAAAATGAAAAGGTAACACTTTTCATTTCGTCAATTTGAGGTAAAATTTCGAACAATTATCTGTCAAATATAACTTTTAGTTCAAAAATTTTGTGAATTAGAGTAGGCTTAGAGAATTTAAATGTCAAACTATTTTCGGACGAACGAATTTTCGAAATGAAATAGAAACAGAGTAAGGAGCGTGCGATATTTCGATCGAAATTTCGTTTTTCGTTGAAATAAAGTAGGCTTCCAGGTCGCGGCACGTAACTCTAGCGCTGAACAAAACGCGGAGGGGATAGCTGCGCATGGGTACGACTGAAGAGCCAATCGGCGCAACGTATGCCCGCCCGCGCACCTCGGTTCCCCCCAAGACATCTTAATTTTTACTTCTATGCAATAACGGTCAGCGCTAGAGTTTCGTGCCGCGACTTATACTCTTATTTCAATAGACATAATAATATCGCACGCTTAATGGAATACTGACTTAATAGTATTTAGGACAAAAGATTGTGCTAAAACCATCTACAGTATGCTATTTATTGCTTTTATATTGCTGCGTCAATGACACCTAACTTTGATATTTTAGACGTACAGTAGGTATACAAAAAATGGTGCCGACACAAGCCTGTGTATCTTACTCAACGTTGACCTAAGTACTAACTAATCAGTCTGGTATTATAATATAAGTGCCACATGTACTTATTTTATTACAAATACGAAATTTACTCTATATGATTAATTTTAATTCACATCTAAGCTTAAGCCAGAATTTTGTTATGGAGATAATGGGGGTCTTGGAGAAGGACATGAACATATTTTGTGGTAAAAAAAAAACAATGAGACGAAATAGGGGATCGAATTGGAACGCCCGCGTCCGTTTGAAGAAGTAACTTCTACCTTACATGACACCTACGTGAAATACCAGTAACTGTGTAATAAATAAAACCTTTCCATAATTGGTATAGTTGTAACGTAACCCCTGGTTAATTAATTTTTCTCTGATCCAAATTCGTACAAGCTTAGTAAGAAATCAAATTATAATGATGCAGAGAAAAGCTTGGGTTGTTCTGTTTTCATCCTATGACGACTCATCCGATGCATTATTTTCGTTCCTTATTCAATCCACCGAATATGGATAATAGGAGCTCGATGCGCGGGTAGTCGGTCACTGGATGGATGACCAAAAATCTTCTATCTCGAGTTCCTCCGTGCTTCGGAAGGCACGTTAAGCCCTTGATTCCGGCTGCATTTGTAGTCGTTAGCACCCGCTAATCCGCACTGGGCTCGCGTGGTGGGTTATGGCCTAATCTTCCTATTCCATCCATAAGGAAGGCCTGTACCCTAGCAGTGGGTACATTAATAGGCTGATGATGATGATTCAATCCACCAAAATATTTCATTTAGCTTCTTATAAACACAATTCTCACCTTTAGTATTATTATTGAACACACACGTGTCGTACAGTTGCTCAGCGGTCACGCTCCCATTGCAGAGGCCTGGCCCCTTAACGCCCCTCTGTTTCCTCTCCACTTGTAGAAGCTTCTCAATCTCCTCTATCTCTATCTGCTTTATATTCCCGTTCTGCTTCTTGTCCGGCGACTCCTCCTCCTCTTCATCTTCTTCTTCGGTGGTGGCGAAGAGTTTCTCCACTATTATGAACATTAGCATGCCGAAGAGACACCAAAGACCACATTTTAGGGAAACGTGTTCGCCTTCTGAAAAAGATGAAGGTCGAAACCTTAATATTGTTAATATGATATTTATTTTATGTATTAAACTGTTAGATTTATAAATATACATGAAATATTACTACACAAAAGTCCACTCGGCCGAGGTGTCAGGTTGTCCAAACAATCGGTCGATCCGAAAACAATAATGTTAGGTCATCGGCGATTATCGCGTCTAACAGTGTCTGACTGGATTATTAATTTACTATTGCAATTATATTATACATTCAGCCTAATACCAAAACATCTATCTATTAATATCAATAATTTTTATTAGTGTGATGGAAATCAGAAACAACAGATTTACAATTCATTATCATCACTATTCAGACTATCATTCAGAATATCTTTTTAGGTCACAGGCTACGGGCTGAACCGGAAAAACGGGCCCTAACACACCTAGATCCAGCGCAGTGCTAACGACTGCAGACCCAGCCGGGACCAACGACTTAACATTCCTTCCAAAACACGGAACTTCAGTTTTTTTTTTACGTTGTAGGGGGCATACGAGCAGACGGCTCACCTGATGGTAAGTGATCACCGTCGCCCATGGACACTTGCAAACCAGGAGTATCACAAATGCGATGCCGGCCTTTAAGGAAGGATTAAGCTCTTTTTTTGAAGGTTTTTGGGTCGTATTGGTCCGGAAACACTGCTGGTAAACTTACAACATAAAAGATAGTAAACTTTTGGTCATCCGTCCTTTGAGAAAGTCGCATAATTTCTACAATTGCAGACTGATAGCGCTAACCACCGCTCCATCGAGTTCCCCAAGCTCAATCTATATTTACCGAGAATTAAATTGGACCTCGAAGATGGCAAACCCGTTATCAAAACCAGATCCCCGAGGTCGGCGTTATTTACAAACGGGTTCACTCACACACATTACAATAATTATGTAAACACAACTGATTCACTATTGAAGCCACTACAGCAGACAGACGCCAGATAGCTTGGAACGCAAAACCTATAAACTACAAACTAAATTAAATAGTGAGCCTTATCTACTACGGCACATGGTGCTAATTTATAAATGCTGGTACTTGTGAACACAAAACCTCGGCATTAGAAATGAGACGCTAGCTGGTTCGCGGAAAAACTACTGTGGCGCGTGTGTCATTTGGTATACATAGTTGCGACAGTACACACTTGACAATGGAATTGTTATTGTTTATATCTGTGGTTCATATTGAAACACCGCTCGAGCGAGATAGCTAAGCGCGATAGAGTTGAAAAAAAATAATTAAAGAAAAAATAACTTTAAAAGAAAAAGGCATTGTTGGCAATTCCATTCGATTGATCTTAATTTATTTAGGAAGTTTAGTTCAATTTGAACAACAACTTACTTAGCGAGCTGTTTGAAAAAAAAATTAAAATACAAAAAAGAAGTTAACAAAACAAAACTCCAATGTAGTAGGTATTCAAAGGAAATTCAATGTTTTACAACAACTTGTATAGGGTGCGCCGCCATTATTTAAAAAAAAAGTTGAAGATTATAAATAAAAACAAGCAAACAAACTCATTCAGTTCCGGAAAGGTTAGTGAAAAAATATACAAGTGTATTTTACTTCCCTAGTAACCGTGCGTCCGTAATAGGTAGTTCTGCGGAGCTCAATAGCGCAATTGGTTAGCGTGTCCGGTTGCGATCGTTGAATTTAAGCAACTTTCGCAGTGGTTAGTCTTCGGATGGGTGACCACAAATTTTCTATCTCGATTTAAGCTTAGTAAAGCCGTTGGTCCCTGCTGCATCTGCAGTCATTCTTCTTACTAGTCGTGCACTCTTGACAGAGTAGTCGTGGTCATGTCTCGGTCGATTCTTGTGCCACTGATGCAATCGCGATGCGTTGCCATGCAGCTCGATGTTTTGCAGAGCGAGAACAATCATTTACGCTAGAATGCAGTCATTAGCACCCACTTATTCGCACTGGGCACACTCTCCGTATTCCATCCATAGGTAAAGCCTGTGCCCCAACAAGAGGGACATTAAAAGGATGATGATAAGGTGGTTCTGACGCCACACGCATGACCACATTAAACGTATAATGAATAAAGTATACCACTTTTTAATTATAGTAAGATAATTTCCATTTCCAGTAGCCAATCTAATATCTTCTCTGGGTCGAGGATTCAGACGTCCCGTGGAACGTGGTTTGTGGAACAGTGCATTTTTTTATAGTAAAATTTTCTTTAGATTTAAACATATATATGCTTAAATATAAAAATAAAATTATCTTATCTTACTTTGCTGGATTAGGTATTAGGAGTAGATGAAAAATAGTACCTAATTACTGAGGCTAATGTCCAAGCACGCTTATATGATAAACAAAGTCAGGCGAGTTTAAAATTAAATTACTATCGGAAATTATTATATGCGATGGGCAGGCGACCCATTGTATCCGATCCAGACAAGAATAAAAAAAAATACAATTGCTTGTCATTGTTTCATTGATATGTTATTTCAAAGCGAAGAGGGTGTAGGGATGCAAACGATACATCGATGATTGTAAAACATCGATGTATCGGTCATAAACATCGATGTTAACATCGATGTTTTGATGAGCGATATATCGTCGATACATCGTTCACTACATTTACAAACATCGACATCGTTCTTGTCTGGTCGGATTTTCGGAATCTCTATGACGTTCGCTCGCATTAGATGGTTGTGCTGACACGTAAAGCGTAGATGAATTTGATTAAATATAATTTGATTCTTTGACCACATACCTATACACATATTAGATTTCTTGATTGGGTGAGTAATGTACTTGTTGAATTAATTTATAAAGGAGTTAGGTTTTGATGGTTTGTTTTTTCTTTAGGTTTTTGTTGGCGGGTACGTGAAAATTAAGCGTATAATTTTAAGGTTAAAAAAAAACAAAACGAATAGCTTGTTGATTGAAGCAGCTTGTGAACTGATAGTTCATATTAATTTGTTTATTTGCCTAATTGAATGATGAGAATCATTTTGTTATAATTTAATTTACCATCATGTTATTCTCATTTTTATTAACCTTTATGCATCGAGCATACTTATACCGAATAGAGCGGTATTGTTGTTTCAATGAAGCATCCTATTAAAAATAAAAAAAAACATCAGCAATAACATCGATATATCGCTCTTATCAACGATATTTTTGAACATCGATGTTTTTCAAAACGATGTTGCATCCCTAAGAGGGTGTCCGTTCACTGTTCATGAGCTTCACCAAACGCCGACGAACGAACGGGCGAACAGCGGAGGATTTGTATTAGCACTGCTTTATCCCATGTACGAACAATATCGAGAAAGGTTTCATATCGTCATCGTCAAACTTTCAAAGGGCTTTGTTCTTCTGTTTGGTAAGTTTCAATGATGGCGATTCAAATGCTCTCACGCTAATTGTTCGTACAGGAGTACAATTATTGATGACGTTCCGTAGCCACCGTTTGCGTATACTGCGCTCAAAAAAACATACAAATATCTTTTTAATCAGACTTATCTCTGACCTTCTCGCTGTTATTAATATGACGAGACATTGGCATGCGTAGGCGGCTTAAGGTCGAATTGCATTTGCAAATCTTATTGTTCACGCCTTAGTTTTAAGTTGTTGACACATTATAGTGAGTCGGCGCAACTTAGGGCGCGTACACATAGAACGTAAGTTTCTACAAGATCCTTTTTTCACGGATCAGTCGTTACTGAACTTAATATTCACACAGCATTTGCAGGACCGGTTTTTGAGGGACCCGACGCTACTAGAGGAAATATAACGTAATATTTACATTGGCGCCTGTGTGCAGACCGCACCCCGTGCACCCCCGTGTCAAGCTTCGCGTGGTTTCGATTCGATAAAACGGATAGGTATTTCCGTTGTGTGTGGGACTGGATCAGAAATACTGTCATGTGTGTGCAACTGAAATCTTGGGCACACTTATACTTTTTTTTCTAGTTAACATAGGCGCAGGCTACACTACGTGGTGTCACAACGACGATGAAATCATATGCCTAAATTGCTTCCAGCTCCCTACTCCTTTTCATTTAAAAAAGAACAAGAGATTAACGGAGCTATGTGTGGCGTTCCAAGACATAAAACTATGTGGCATTCTTTACTTTTATAAGCGCCTCGCCGCGCCGGTCTTTTCGGCACTCAAATTCGGTATCAAGTTTGATAAAAAGGCTTGCAATTCCCTTTGTCTACTGCGCTCAGGTCAAGGCCATAAAGATACGGTAGAAATGCTAAATTTAAAAAGAAATCTGAAAAATAAATTTAAGTGTAATATCGGGGCCACGTTTAAATAATAACAATGAAATCCGGACAAAACTCTACAACTCTGTGGTCAATGTTAAACTATGCTATGGAATCTAATTAAGGAATATAATATAGGATTACTAGCTTGTCCCAGTGAACCTTGTACCGCCATAAAAAATAGGGGTTGATGGTAGAAAGGTGACAATGTAGGGTTGTATGTAATTTTGTATTATGTATCATAAAAAAACAAAAACAAAAAATTTTGTCAAAAAAAAAGGTTGGACCCTTAACATTTCATCATCATCATCATCATCAGCCTCTTTATGTCCCCACTGCTGGGGCACAGGCCTTCCCTATGGATGGAAGAAGGAGATTGGGCCATGACCCACCACGCGTGCCCAGTGCGGATTGGCGGGTGCTAACGATTGCAGATGCAACCGGGACCAACGGCTTAACGTGCCTTCCGAAGCACGGAGGAACACGAGATAGAAATTTTTGGTCGACCATCACGTAATCAAAATTTCACGAAAATCGGTCGAGCCGTTCCGGAGTAGTTCAATTACGCACACCGTGACACGAGAATTTTATATATAAGTTATGAAGAATCCAAAAATCATGACTCAGAAGCATAATGATATTTGTGAATATGACCATCGGTTTTGAATTATTTGATCACCCAGCTAGCAATAAATGCCCCTACTAAGATTCGAACCCAGGACCTTTTCAGCAGAAGTCACAAGAGCACTGTCGTTATACCGACCGGTTGTCAGGATGTACACAATTTAACGTTTGTTTAAAAGTTACAGCGTCTTCATCAATACAACAATAAGTACGGTATTCCCAATGACAATCCATCGCTGTGGAATTATACAAGAGGAGATTTTTTATGTGACTATTTGAACAACGAGTAATTCAGTTGAAGTTAGATAACCGACAGGGGTGAACTTGAACGTCTTATATCAAGTTATAAATAAAATAAATATAATCTCCGCATATTGCATAATAAATAAATATTTTCCATTGAGTATGCAAGGTTTACCCTAATATTATGCTAGGTAATTAAAATGCGTTTATATATCATAAACGGAAGCTTAAATATTTACAGAAATAGATTATTTCGCGTGTTTATAATAAAAAATGAAGTTACTGGAAATTTATCGCAATAAAATAATAAAAATGCATTTTTTATCTCAAAGTTTAAATAATTGTAAAATATATTACTTTTGGGTTATTTAGGTAGATTTGTCTGCAACAATGTAAGGAGTGCTTGTGAAATTTTACTTCGACATGGAAGAAATATGCCGCTCGGACCGAAGCGACTGTAATTTCTAAAGCTTTGGTTTGCCTTCTCGTTAGATTCATTTATACCTTTTCACTCCACCTTCGCATTTCTGTCTGAACAGATTCGAATTCCAACCAATATGGTTGCTGATGATGATCTGCTGCTGATATTCTCATCGACTCTAATTCAAAGTACGATATAACTTATTAAAATAACTCTTCCTTCCCGATGTCAATGTCTAGGCCCGCTGGCCAAGATTGTAAGTGCTTTATGAAGCTCTAGACTGCAATAAACTGCCAAATACTCATTCTAACAATTGGCAGATTTGTTACTGGTCAGAGGAGTTAGTTCGATGGCGCAAGTGGTTAGCGCGTTCGGCTGCGATCGTTGAACTTAAGCAACTTTCGCAGTGGTCGGTTTTGGATGGGTGACCAAAGAATTACTATCTCGAGCTCCTCCGTGCTTCGGCACGTTAAGCCGTTGGTCCCGGCTGCATCTGCAGTCGTTAGCACCCACCAATCCGCACTGGGCTCCCGTGGTGGGTCATGGCCCAATCTTCCTATTCCATCCATAGGGAAGGCCTGTGCCCCAGCAATGGGGACATTAATAGGCTGATGATGATGTTACTGGTCATAACTGCCAACTGCAGTTGAGCTTTAACTTTGCAGTCGAAATGCCGTTGAACTGCAGTCCGTCTGTCAGAGCCTTTTATCAATCCTTACCTTTTCTGCTGGCCAAGTCATGCGCCCAGGCCTCCGGCAGCAGATGCAAGAACACATCGCCCAATAGACCGCCCACTGCAAAGCTCAGCAGCACACGCAGCGTCCCCGCGCCAGCTGCAACAAAAAAAAACATTTACTATAACCCTTTTCATTTGCAGTGGTGTAAATATATATGTTACATGGGGGGCAACAACTAGCTCCGTCAGGCAGCGAGTGTTTAACTGGGGGGAGCAAAAACCACGATTTTGGCAGTATATTTATACACAGAGAATAATTTTAAATAGCGCTACTATAATGCTGTGCAGACTTTCATGCCATAAAATCATTCAATCACTGGGTACTGAGTACAGGGAGTGATAGTAACTTTAAAAAATCCAGCTGCTCACTTTTCATTTCATGACGCCTATAGTGTAGGCTATGATGTAGTTGGATAACTAAAAATTAATTAACTCGAAACTTCTTTGTGCTTGCGGAAGGCAAGTGAATAGTGAAGCATCCCCACTATTTACACTAGGCCCACGCAAGTAGTGGGTTACGGCCCGATCTTCCTATTTGATTCTACCCTCCAGCAGTGGTGATACTATTTACTCGTGTGCTAATAAACTGGTAGTAATCAATTATATAACCGTAATGTCATAATACTCAATATTATGTATTTATTAAAACAATTAGATTGTTTAATGTCATAAAAATCTTTTTGTTTCATACAATTAAACAGTAGTCTTTGTAAACTTAGTAACATAAATTAATAAAACTGTTAGTTAATACAGTTTATCAAATCAAGTTTATCGAGTGTGAATTTTATGATTACAATCTGTGTTTTATCGTGCAGGGACGTAACCAGGGCCTCACGATATGGGTCCGCTCAACGTCAAATGATTTGTTTTACTTAGTCCAAAGCTTTTTTTCCCACATGAGTATACATAATAATAATATAATATATTATAATATTTAAAAATAAAACCTTTTTTAGTTTAGCAAATAATTTATATAATCTACTATATAAAAATAAGTCGGGTTTTCCTTCCTGACGCTGTAACTCCAGAACGCACGAACCGATTTCCACGGTTTTGCATTCATTGGAAAGGTCTCGGGCTCCGTGAGGTTTATAGCAAAGAAAATTCAGGAAAAATTAAAAAAAAACTTCTTTTAATCACCAAACGAAATGTTACATAAAACGAAGCCATCTGGTGGCGAAACGGAGTTCGCCGGGTTTGCTAGTATTTAATAAAATAAAAAGGGTTTTTTTGGGGATTATGTTTCAATTTTAGTTGTAAAAATTGGGACAAACGGAGTCGTCTGTCTGTCTAATTTTCTTTGTTGTTAATTCCTATTGCTGAGTAAAGCTTTTAAATTTTAAGCTTCTTTGTCTATGTTAAGCCGGGTATTTAGCAAAAGATTTTTGAAAACCTTCAACAAAAACACCTATTTTACGTAGACGGTTTTGTTGAATGTTGATATGTTTTAGTTGATTGTGTAGGGCAAAACACGCGATCGAGACTCGGATTTAGTCTAATGGTTTATTTTGTATATGATATGACTGTTATTACGATATACATTTTTTTTCATTACATACAAAAGATCGAGACAGTATAGATCCTGGGTTCCGAACCTGGGGGTAATTACCCCTCCGGGGGTAAATCAACCATACTTCGGGGGTAACAAAGAACCTAATTACATGGTTAAATCTAAATAATAAGAAAATACTATATAATAATACTACTAAATAGAGCATGCGCTCCTTCTTGCTAGCGAGCCCGCGGGGTGCTGAGTGTGGGAAGCGGGGCGAGATATTTTCCTGATTATGATATTATTGAAGACGAAGATGTAGCGGCCAAATTGGAATTTCTTGGGCTGATGATAACATTTTAAAGTCCGGGTAAAATCTGTTTTCTTAATAGGTTACAGGGGTAGCAGTATTGGAAAGGTTAGGAAACACTGGTATAGATTATGGTGGGCGCATATCAAAATTAACCCAAATAAATGGACAATTTATTGAAAATGATAATTTATCTAAATTATCATTTATTACATATTTTTATATTTCATTTATCTAAATTATCATTTTCAATAAAATGTCCATTCCACAGTACATCTGTACTAAAAATATGTTCAGTGGAACTGATATAGCCTTTTCTAATAACATCTTAAAACAAATAATACTTAATTTTAATCAAATGTATTCGTTCAATCAATGTCCGAGTTCGTAGATTTAGATGTTATCAAAGTTTAACAAGTTACAAAGTGTCATTTCACTCATAAACATCATTTCTATTATCGTGGCATTGGTTGTAATCATGAGGATAACACCTAGGCATATCTTTAATGTACCGTCTGTAGTGATTGCCCGATAAAAACTATTGGTGTTTGGTTTAAACGTTATCTAATAAGATTTTGTTAGAAATAGTTGCGTAACATCGGTATTTGCAACCTCGAAACTTGATGCTTTGTGTTGTTTCTTCGTTTTTTATGATGATGAGAAAATCAAGTCAGATTGACGTAGTCGTTTCGATAGGGTATGTTAGACATTCCATCCTCCTAGCTGGTTTGACATTCCATCCTCCTAGCTGGCCATTCTGTCTTAAACATCTCGTCGCCGATTATGAGAATGTGGGCTCTTTATTAGAAGTCTCAAACACAACATCAAGTCTTCATCAGCTACTAAAATTTTATTTAAACTATATTTTATCAACACGATGGGTTACACGTTAATCTGACATAGATTATACTGTTAAAAAATATGTGAATGATAATACTGCCTGTGGGGCAATCGTCTAACGGAATTGCTATGGCTATCGCTTACAATTTCGTTTTGTTATTTCTGACCGCCGAAGGTTTTCGAATACCTCACGCTTATTTTATTTAATATGGTTATTACCAATGCCAAAGAAAACAAGAGCGCGAGGCATTTGAAAACCTTCGGCGAAGTCTGAAATAACAAAATGAAATCGTTAGCGATAGCGATAGCATTGTAATCCCGCTAGGCGATTGGCGTCATTGGCATTGGTCGTAATTGTTACCTTCAGAAAATTTTCATACTCTTCAAGAGAAGTATTGAAGAGAACCCTACACTTAGTGTCTTTTTTAAACTTGCCTATGTATTTTGAAAATTGTTTACTGGATATTTCGGAGCTTGTGTATATTTATTTGTTACGTTTTTGACATTACGTACATAAGTTGTTTTATTATTTTTTTTTTCATTATGTAACAGTTGACATTGCGGTTAACAAGGATAACTTTTGTACTGTAAGTTGTTTTATAAGTTTGTCAGCTTTTAATTTGACGGCACTGCAGGCGCGGTCGCAGCCTGAAATTTTGGAGGGGGTCACTCACTACACTAACAAAAAAACCGGCCAAGTGCGAGTCAAACTCGCGCACCGAGGGTTCCGTACACACCTGAATTTTCAAAAACATTTTTTATTAAATGATGTAAAGGAAAAATTGTAATTCGCAATTTTTCCTTTATCTGTACTATAAGACGTTACTTTGTACCAAATTTCAAGATTCTAAGTTCACGGGAAGTACCCTGTAGGTTTTGATTACTAAAACTACGTAGTTCGGTTCCTTGTTTCTAAACTAGTACTAGATGTCATTTACAAGTTATTTTGGCCATCGTACGTAGTTCATAAAAACACCACTAGATGCCAGCAAAATTTATCGCTGTGAGGAGATAGATTATATGGCAAATTTTTGAGACTTTTCAATTTGACCTTAGATTTGGGGGGGGGGGGGGGGTAGCTTTTGACTTTCACAGTGCTTGTTAAAGCCTAAACTGAATAAATTAATATTGATTTTGATTTTAGGTAACACTCACTTCGTATCAGACATGATGACGAAACAACACATATGAACTGCTCGTGATCGATTTAGCTGAATTATTTTAATTTTATTCATCATCATCATCAGTCGATGCAGTGGACATTGGACACTGCTGGGCATCAAGGACCCCCTCAAGGGATTCCCATATACTATGGTCCTGCACTCTCCGCACCTAGTAGGAACTACACTGCGGTTTTCGGTACGAGATCGCCTTTGAAGTACCTTGGGACCCCCACCGCCGTCTGTCCGCCGAACTATGTGCCCCACGAATTGCCACTTCTGTTTTGCGATCCGCTGACCTAGGGCGGTTATTCTAGTTCTTCAGCGGATTTTCTCATTTCTTATTCGATCATGTAGAAACATCGAGCATAGCTCTCTCCATCACTCGCTGTGCGAATCTGAGCCTTTCTATGAGGCTCATATAGTCCAGTCAATGAAGGTTTTCACCTCCGATTTCGTTGAATCTCCATCGATTTTCATGAAAATTGGTGAGTAGGTGAAGGATACCTTAAGAAACAAAAGTGATATGGTGCCAACTTGCGCTTTTGCCCTGGGGGTAGATGCCACCCCTTCCCGGGGGTGAAAATTATTTTAATAAAAATAACTCCAGGAATCGATAGAGAAAGAAATTCTAAGCAAAATTTGTTAAATAAGGTTTTTAAGGTTCAACGAAATCGGAGGTTGTAGCTGATTTTTGCCTTCATTGACTGAACTAATAGTCAACATCGATCAGGCTTCATGTCCGTATATGTCATCACTGGCAAAACGCACTGTTCGAAGACCTCCGTCTTCAGGCACTGAGGTATTTCTGACAAGAAGACATCGTGTATGTTCCGAAAAGCGGCCCAGCTGAGTGTATTAGAATATATTTTTCTCTTAATATAAAATTATTGATTTTGGAGTGAATTATTACCTCGGTATAATAGGCTTTTGGAGCAATGACTGCTCGGAAGTCCGGCACTGCCGCACTGCACTGCTCTAACTTCATAACGTGTCTTAAAAATAACTGTTTTAGTAAATCTGTCTCATTTCTTATGGAAGACATATGGCACAGATCGCACCACGCATCATCGCTTGTCAGTAATAGACGAACAGACTAAATACATAGTAAGATGTAGGTAAGACGCGACACTGCATTGCAATGCAGTTTATTTTCCAAATTAAATAAATCATTGAGTAGCAATCAGTTATTATCACCAAGTGCTGGATTTCAATCAGTTTTCGGCCCGTATTATAGAAAGATTCTCAGTGATTGATCTAGTCTTGAGCATAGTTAGAAAGGGATATCGCTATGT